CCTATTGTAGCGTGCCCCGGGTGATTATGATGATGGAGAATTTGGTGGAATGAAGATTGGCAGGGGAAACTGAAGTACTCAGAGAAAATCCGCCCCAGCGCCACTTTGTCCACCACAAATCCCACTTGACCAGACCCAGTATTGAACCCAGGCTGCTGCGGTGGGAAGCCAGCGACTAACCACTTGAGCTATGGCGTGGCATATTTGTGAAGCATTCTGTTATTCTTATGTATGACAGTGGAATGACTGTACAGAATTTAATATAATTTTTCAGCTTTCGGTTTTACTCATAAAATCTGATAAGAGTTCCTTTGTAAATAATTTACTTATAGCTGATTATGAAATATTTGAGATATCTGTAAGCTCCCCAATAACTGTATAAAGAGTTCACAGTTCATGGTATGACTTGTGACTGTAAGAGGTTGTGTATTATTTCCAGTGTGTGCAATGCCGGACTGTGACAAGAAGTCTCTTTTTCATAAGAAAAATACTTCATATTATTCCCAGTATTATAGTACCAATTAATGTGAAAAATAACGAGTTTCTCCCATAGTAACTTCTCCATACCTCTTATACAGGGAATTATTTTCATGAAGTGATATCCTATAGATGTTTCCATTTGCAATTTAATGAGGATTATAATATTGCTGACACTTAATTGTGAATGGCAGTACATGTGATACATCTGATGATGGGAATAGGTCTTTGTATATCTCTCACTTCTTTTAAAACCATTTACTGTAAAAGAAGAGATGAATTTCATGCCTCTAATGTAGAATACATTCTTGACTTCCAATTTATTAACTGCAGGAGTTTGCAGTAGCAGTGAGATATCAATTAGGCCTTGAGGTATTAGCAGACAGTCCTCTCAATTAATACTTGTTCCTGAGAATAGTAAAATAAGAATGATTATATTTGTATAAAATACTTGAAGTAATATATTTGTTTTCTTTAACACTTGCAGCAAAACCGCCTGTACCAGAGCCCACTCCAGCTCCGCCTTCATGCTTCCCATCACCGTGTGGTCCCAATTCACAGTGCCAAATTGTGGCTGGGAACCCAGCCTGCTCATGCTTGCCTGGTTACATTGGAGCACCACCCAGTTGTCGTCCAGAATGTGTTCTGAGTGCTGAATGCTCTAGCCAGTTGGCATGTATCAATCAGAAATGTCAAAATCCCTGCCCTGGTTCTTGTGGCTACAATGCCAATTGTCAGGTGCTCAACCATATCCCTGTGTGTCGCTGCAATGATGGTCACACTGGGGATCCATTTACACAGTGCAATCCCATTCCAAGTACACCACCACCCCGGACTGATCCATGCAACCCATCACCCTGTGGGCCAAATGCTGTTTGCAGGTATGTTTCAAGCAGAATATGTATGTAACAGATAGTATAGTGTTTCATACACCTCCATAATATTACAAGTATTGCATAATGTCCCAGGATTTATAAAAGTCATGTGGACCAAATGCTGTTTGCAGGTATGCTTCGAGCAGAACAATATGAATCAGGCAGTATTATAAGAAGTAAAATTTGTGATGATGGTACAGTAATATAAATAATATGTTTCTGGACTTTATCCATCATCCTGTTTTTATCTAAAGCACCATCCCGTTTCTATTTAAAAACACAACATTTAGGAAACTGGATTCTGTCTCCTTCTTCAGGTAAAACCTACTCAATTGGGCCCAGTTGATAGAGCTAGTCCCTATCTATAGACACCTGCACCAACACCAGGTAGGATATACAAGCTAAGTGCAGTACAAACCATCTGCAATGGCTAAGACAAAACATTAACCTTTAAATGCCGGACTTTTAGCATGGTGGTAGTTTGAGCTGGCCAGAGTTTATTTAAATGTCTGCTGCTGCTCTGCATTTAAATATCAGTTCCTGTTAGGATGCTTAAAAATGCTGTATCTAATAGAATTTTTATGATAAATGAATGGAATCAACTTTGTTTTAATCAGCAAAGAACTAAGTGCCACATAGTATAACGTAAGATTTGAAAATATTAAGACAAAGAAGTTATACTCTATTTTTAATTTTTCTTGTAATTTTTATGCATACCATAAAAATTGTTCCATACTTATTCATAGAGTAGTTATGTATTATGAAATCACTCCTGCTTCTAGAACTTGAAATATGTATTTTCAAATTCTCTGGTGCCATAAACCAGCTGGAAGCAATAAAATCATTTGGTTCTCTGCTGGCAAGTTTCACATCTTTGTTGCACTCTTCAGATATTCAAGTCTTTCGACTAAAGGACAGAAAAGAGAAAGCATTGCAGTTCAAGGAATATTACATAATCTTTGTTCCCTTCTTCAGTGCCAGGCCTTTCCATTGCATTTGAGATAGAATATCACCGTTTCTAAAGTCGTAAACAAACACATGCATTTTAGCGGAGATACGAGTACAGAGTGCATTCAGCATTCTGTGAGTTCATAGTGAATTTGAATATTGTAGTTTCATATCGTCATAAAATGGCAATTATACATTGTTTGGAAAGTGATGAAATTGAAAGGCAATTGAAGTGCAAGATATGTGACGTAGGACTATGCAATTGTGGTTGCTTCAAGAAGTACCATACAAAGGCAAGAGTCAGTTACTTGACATGGGGGCGGTGAACCCTGTGTATACATCAAGCACCTAACCACAAAAAAGGAATGTACATTGAATTTACTCTATTTAAACTAAATGTGTAGGACTGGGCATTTGCATCTACTAGCAGAGTGTGCGTGCGCTTCTACTAGTGGAGTTTAAGTGCCCAACTGCACAAATCGGTATACTTCGGCCACAACGACCATACTCATCGCTGTACCGATCAGTGCACTTCGGACATTAAAGGTTAAAATATTAAAATCTTCACACTTACAAGGCCTTGCACCAGAGAACTGTCAGAATAGACGTCATCACTTGATAGGCAAGCAGCACAAATATAATCTGACACAGGGTCTGCTTGAAAAATCAAAATTAGTCCAACATGCCTATGTAGAAGGCCACAAAATTTGTTGAAATGAGGCGAAGGTCTTGCAGATTGAACCAAACACCACATACAAGAAAATACAAGGAATCCAACACATGTCTCCAATAGACCATCCAATCAATCAACCCAGGTGGACATCTCTCCCATCTGAACTCTTATTATTACAGAAAAAAAAAGGGATTTTTTTTTTGTGGTGGTACCATATGGACAGTGACAACTTTTATTCTGATAGTTTTCTGGTGCAAGGCCTCATATGTATGGAGTTTTTAATATTGTAATTTTTTATCTTAACTCTCTCAGATGATTTTTGCTGTGTTGGGCTTGTATACCCTATCTGGTGTTGGTACAGGTGTCTGGAGATAGGCACTACCTCTGTTGATTGAGCTGAACTGAGTAGGTTTTACCTGAAAAAAGAAACGAAATCTAGTCTTCAAAACGTTGTGTTTTTAAATAGAAACAGGACAGTGGATAATGTCCAGAAACATAATATTTGTAGGTAGTATCATGTTTTGAGTACATGTTCACAATACAAGTATTCCATACACTTCCATTTTGTCTGAAAGAAAGTCTAGTATCTGAAAAGTAATGTTATGATTGACATAATATATTTTT